CAGCATTCACATGATGGTTAACAGCCATCCATAATTCCAGTTCCAGGGGATCCGACACCTTCTTCTGTCCTCCACAGACATTGTACAACATAGGGGCACTTACATACAGGCAGATATAACCCTCATACAAAAAAAATAAAAATAAATAAAAAAAAAATGTAATCTTGGAGCTGCTGAAGATGGCTCAGTGGGTTAGAGCACTCGCTGTGCCAGTGTGAGGACTCAGGTCCACATTCCAGTGCCCACATAGTCAGGCATGGCCATGTGTGCTCCTATAACCCCAGTGCCATGGAGGACTGAAGCATGGAGGGTTGCTGAGGCTCGCTGGCTGCCAGTCTAGCTCCAGATCCAATGAGAAACCTTGTCTCGGAGGAATAAATTGCTGAGCAATGACACAGGACACCCAAGGGCAACCTCTGGCCTCTGCATGTGCTCACAAGTGTGAGCAGCCACACACACAAGTGCAGGTACATTACACATGCATACACTAGGACCCTACTCATATATACATATACACATATATAACTCACATGTGTACATACTACATAAAAAATGTAATCTTTGCATGACTCTAGAAGAACCTTAAGAATTTCAGTTACATTAGCCTTTCTAAAGCCTAATGACTGTGTTATTAAAAGAGATGATGAAATGTGCCTCTTTTGAGGTTGACTTCATTTCATTTTCCTACTTGAGGCTCAAAAAAGACTAAAATTATAAACAGAAACAAACTGACACAGATTTTAGAGGATATACAAGGATTGTGATTAGGAAGACATTGGGCCAAAAGGCTCCAGAGCAATCAGTGCTTACAGAACTTGCCTCAGCAACTACTGTCAAGTAGACTCTGGCCAAACAGAGAGAGAAATCGCTCCTGGTTATAAGCTGGTTTTCTCTAGAATTTAAACCCTCCTTCCATTTAAGAGAAGCAAATTATTTCATTCATTTTAAGTCAACACAAAGGATCTGTATACCTAGAAGAGGAACCTAGAAGCCCTTCCTAGAAGATCCTTCTTCCCCAAAACCCTTCCACAGGGCTTCAGGGCAGCCTGTGTAAGATATGGGGGAAGGACATCAGAATCACCTCAGGAGGTGTCTCTCTTTGCTTTTTCTTTCAAAAGATTGTCTGAATCAAGTTTTCTTTCTCTCATCTTTCTGCCCATCCTACCCCCAACTGGAAAGTGTTCTTGTAGACCTCAGACCTAGAGGTTACAGTAGGAAACAATCTAGAAGAGGTTGAGGGTAGCCCCAGGTCAGTTTAGATAGCTGTGTTAACTGAACAGATAGGATAGGTAAGGAATTCGATTTCTTTGAAAGATTGTGTTGTAGAAGTGAAAACCTGGGCAGGACAAGGTGTGGAGGATCTGCATTATCAGAGGTTTCCTTCCTGCCACACGCTGGGTAGACTAGACTTCTATGAGCAAACTGTAAAATTTCTCTTCATGAATTTTCTCCTAAAGTGTCTTTTTTTCACCAAATACTAATTTGTACTTTCATTCATAAGTAAATGAATTACTTTTAAGGGTTCGGCAACTGAGGGATATCTGGGGGCAAAGTTCTCTTGTAACTTGTTTAGGATTACTACTAATGAATTTGAAACCAGCTTCTTTTTATCATCCACTTCTGAATGAAGGACTAGTGTGTATATTTTTTTTCCTTTGCTGAGATTACTGAACAATTACAAAGTAGAGGCTGAAAATGAATTTAAGAGTAATAGAAACTTCAGGCATAGTTTGAAGTATGATTTTAAATGAAAGAGTTTCTTTTGAAAAAACATCAAATTACACATTTGGTATCTAATTGATTAGAAGAAAAACACTTCACAAGGTCTAAGTCCTTACAAGCACTTGTAGAACATTCCCTTTTCCCACATGTTCCCATGTAAATACTTTTCCTTAGACCCAAATTATACTCTGTAGTCAAGAAAGTCTGTCCTAAGGCACCTGGTGGTATAATTTTGCCAATAAAACATAAAGACAAGTAAAAGATAATAGGGCTAATTCCTGTGTTTCCCCTTCATAAGGCATACTGCCCATTCTGACAAACCAGGATAATCTTTCCTTTCTTATTTATGATTATAGTATGGTGCAGTCGTAAGATAATTTATTAAAACTGGGGCTCTGTTTTCACAAGCGTCCAGTTTTGAACTGTCTAGACACGGTCCTCTTTTAAACTTGTTGAAGGGTGTTCACAATGAAACCAAGAATGAGCTGGAGAAGATGCTGAAATGTAGTGAGGAGCACCCAGCGTACCTTGCAAGTGATGAGATTACCACAGTCCGGAAGAACCTGGAATCTCGAGGAGTCGAAGTAGATCCAAGCTTGGTAAGAAATACCATTGGAAGCCAGGTGTGGGGATGCATACAGCCCTTGGAAGTGAAGGCAGGAATTCAAGGTCATCCTTGGCTGCAGAATGAGGTTGACCCTCATGGACTACATGGGACTTTGTCTCAAAAAAAAAAAAAAGAGGAAATAGAGAAAAGCACAAATCTGCTTTCTTAGTGTCTCTAGCAGTACAGTGTTCTACTTTTAACACATTGCTTAGCTGTCTAAGTGATTCCACTTTGATCACGTGCACATTTGCTGGTGTAAAAATAATCAGTTTGATGAAAGAGTAGAAATGTTATCTCAGTATTGCTCTTTAAAGGGTAACATGTAACTAGAGAAATTAAGAAAGACTTTAAAAATTGGGCATACTTGGGCCATTACAGCAGTTTTTGCAAAGGGTGAGGCCTGCCTGGACCTGCTTCATACTGCACTGTTTTATGTTACAGAATTGAACTTTTATTGGCTCACTGTGTACATAGATATTTTTATATGCTTTGTAGTCAGTGTAGCTCAATTAGATATAAGTAGATTTAGAAAAAAACATGAATTTAAAGACACCGAATTGGATAAAATCTTTGTGTTCTATCTCATTTTCCTTATTCCTGGTAAGTATGAGAACAAAGATAATATACACCTTGGGCCACTTTTTTGCTATAATGCGTCTTTGCAGTAAATTATTTTTAATATTTGTTATTTTTAATCTGTGAGTATGAGTGTATTGCCTGCATGTATGTAAGTGTACTTGTGTTGTGCAGTGCCCATGGAGATCAGAAGAGAGCTTCGGGTAGCCATCATGTGGGTGCTGAGAATTGAACCCCAGTCCTCTGCAAGAACAATCAGTGCTCTTAACAGCTGAGCTATCTTTCCAGCCCCTGCAGTAAATTTTTTAAAGATATTATTGGACCTATGTTTTCTACTGGTTAGAAGCTAGATTTAAAAACTCACTTAAATGTTAATGTAAGTGAAACCCAATTCAAAAAATAAATCTAGTGAGGACAGCAGTGTAAGAAATTTCAAAGCGACCCATAAATACCTTTAAAGATTATTGACTGTCCTCGTTTCTGTACTTAACAAATTAGTATACTTACTTTAAACTCCAGCTGAGATCAGAACAAGAAAATTGGTAAGAATCAGAGTGCTTCAGCCATTGTGTATCTCACATTATTTGTAAACTGATCTTGAGACTTTTAGTGGGATGTACATTTAATTTGTCTCCATTGGTCTTGGCACTTATTAACAAAAACTGTACAAATTGAGCATCCCTGATTCAAAATGTGAAAATTGAAATGCACCAAAATCTGAAACTTTTTCAGCTCCAACTTGATGTCACAAGTAAAAAATTCTTCACCTATCCACACGTAACTGGTTGCATTCAAATTGCCAGCCCACTATCATATAGCATAGAATTTACCTGAGACTGTGTAAGGCATATATGACATCAGTGATTTCTGTGTGTAGACCTGCATCCCACTCCCAAGATCAAGTGTGTAAATGTTACAGTTCACCCACCTAGAAATTCTAAATGCAAAACATTTCTGGTCCCATGCATTCTGGAAGGGAATATTGAACCTGTATGCACTGTGTTACGTCAACTTTTATGGCCCTTAAGCTAATGCAGTAAGGAATTTTCTCTTGGTAGTAGAGTGGAAGAAGTTACATGAATTTATTTTAGGTTGTTGTCCATATCTTAGGATATGCATTGAAGGTGTATCTTAATTCCTATGAGCAAGAACATCTCGGTATTTTTCTAGTGACACTTTGTTTAGTACGTTTTATAAAGCCACCATGACAGCCTACTACCATAAGAAGAATATTGGTTTGTCAGGAGATATGAATTCTAATACAGCTCCATTTTATTACTAGTAATATTTCCTTTAGTAGTTGATAACTCTGAGTCACATTTTTTTTCATCTGCAAATGACGTTGACATTTATTCTGTTTATCTATATTCTTATTAAGCTCAAAGGTGGGGAAGAATATGAAATGCTCTAACAGACTTTGTATTGGTGATGTGGTAGGGATCTTGTTGTTCTGGTGGCAGTGTAATTGAACAGAAAGGTTGCTTTCTGACTATTGCTGGGTTGATAGACATGGTCAGACCAGCTTCTAGGTCCTGACTCTGTCCTTAGACAGGGCTTTTAGCCTCTTTTTCCTTGGTGTCCTTGCTGCTGATGAGGCAAAGATCATCCTTCCTGACCTACTGTAAAGTAATTGTGTGATTATAGCTACACTGCTTGTTGAAACTGACAAATCTTGACATATGAAACTAGTAAATATACTCTCTGTCTTGAGGAATAAAAAGTAAATTTGTATACAGCTCAGTGATCAGCTAAAGTGTTCAGTCACTCTTTGGTTTCTATTTTCTTTTCTCATTTTAGATTAAGGATACTTGGCATCAAGTCTATAGAAGACATTTCTTAAAAACAGCTCTAAACCATTGTAACCTTTGTCGAAGAGGATTTTATTACTACCAGAGGCATTTTGTAGATTCTGAGGTGAGGTTTTGCAAAACAAAGGGTAGTAATTTTTAGTAATAATTATTCAAAGATACTTAAAAGTGAACTTTAGCTTTAGTATTAATTTTAAGCCCTTTGATCATCTAGGAGAAAAGCATATGTAGTTTATAAAGAATAACTAGTTATCTTTTCAGAGATTTGCCACTTTAAGAGTAACTGATTCTTCCAAGCTTATCATCCTCAGTGACTATAAGAATGAGGGACCATAGGAAAGGAGACAGTCATTTCCTCTCTCCAGAAATGACTTTAAGCATTTTTATGTTTTTTTTCTGTACAGAAGAAGAGTATGTGCATGTATATAGCATAGCCATCTTTTGTCTAGAGGGAATCATATAGAAAAACTATTTTTGTTATGCATTTTTATGCATTATGATTCTTTTTCATGTCACTAACATCTTGCTTTAAATGATTCCTTAAAAGAACCTAAAGTTCTTGTAGACAAAGTTCTTAACACTCTTCAAAGTAACCTCTAGATGGCAGCAGACTGATGTATTTTTAGCATTTTCTTACAAGCAAAAAAACGCTTTGAAAAAACCTTTGAAAAAGCTGTGAATCAGTGTTGTTATTAAGTTGAAACTTCTAAAGTGCTTTTCTGGTTTTTTCAGCATCTTAAAGGAAATTTGTATTTAAATGCAGCCATGTGAAAGTGCCAAGTTTCTTGTACAACTTTAATTGTTCAGAGACTTCCCTCTACAAAATAGGCTTATTTTTTAAAATTAGCTTATTTTCATCTACAGCTCAGTTCCAAAATTGGTTTAAATGTACACTCAAGAGATCAACCTAAGGACACACTAAGATAAACATGCTGTTTACTGAATACAAACTAAGGGAATACACTGTGGATTCTACTTATGAGTAACATGGTGAAGTTCTCTATTTCCCAAGTTTTTTTTGCTATCCAGTTGTAAATAAACCAAAGCTTTATAGGTGTGGGATAGATCTCAGATGATACAGAATTTCATGACCATATGCAGGAAAGATTCTGTAGCCTATATATAAAAGAAGCGTGTATATTAAACTTTAGTATTTTTATTAAAGCTTAGGAAATAAGTTATGTGTGTTTAGAACAATTTCCATTTTTTGATTTTTCATCTGATCTTAATCACTTAACATTTCAGCTGGAATGCAATGATGTAGTCTTGTTTTGGCGCATACAGCGCATGCTTGCCATCACTGCCAACACTTTAAGGCAGCAACTTACAAACACTGAAGGTAAGATACCTCCTGAAAAGTAGATTGAGTAGAAAAAATTAGAATCATAACTTCCTTTAAAAATATTAATAAAATGCCGGGCATGGTGGCGCACGCCTGTAGTCCCAGCACTTGGGAGGCAGAGGCAGGAGGATCTCTGTAAGTTCAAGACCAGCCTGGTCTACATAGTGAGTTCCAGGTTTTTTAAGATGAAAATTTCATAAAATATATATTTGATTATATTTAGGGCCTGTCTGTCATCTATCTGTACCCCCTTACTACCTGTCACCTAATTTCACGCATATATTATATATATATATAATATATATATATATTAATAAAAATATTATAATTGAAAAAAGATGGGAGATAAGATACCATGCATCAACTTTCGTTATACAAAATTTACAAAAGGACTGACCCTAGAAAATCCGCATTTCTGTTAAGGTTGTTATGGTTTAGGGATATGTATCAGACTCATGCTAATAAAAGTACCGGAAGGAGATTTTCTTGAAACTGGGAAATAAATCAAGAGTAGCTCTAAAATGATGATTAAAAAAAATAACTTATTTTCCATATGCGATTAAGTTTTTCTTTCTGTGCATTCATAAAATTAGTGCTCCTCGGGTTTTTTATTTACTTTGAACAGTTAGGCGATTAGAGAAAAACGTTAAAGAGGTATTAGAAGATTTCGCTGAAGATGGTGAGAAGAAGATGAAATTGCTCACTGGGAAACGCGTTCAGCTGGCTGAAGACCTCAGTAAGTAGTTCCCCTGCCCTCCTAAGCACCTTCCCCAGTTCCCGCTCACTCCTCTCCCATTTAATCTGGAATTGAGAGGTTAGTTACCTATAAAGAAATTTTTTCCTGAAGTGTTGGAATAAAACATTGACCTAAAGTCCCATCATTTCCTTAATGTGTGTCCTAGAGTAAGGATTTCTTTTCCTAGCACATTCCAAAATCGGGTATTGCCATATTTGATCCTTACACCTCACTCATCTTTTCTTTCTTTTTCTTCTTGTGAAGTCCTTTATTATAGTCATTTAGAAACAAGGTCAATTTTCATCTTTGCTTAATATTGTCCCTACTATATAACAAAATGTCCTAGGCTCATTCCCTAACCCACTTGCTTTTTTAAAAGAATAGTATTTAGCCAGGCGTGGTGGTGCACTCCTTTAATCCCAGAGAGGCAGAAGCAGGCAGATGGATCTCTGTGAGTTCAAGGCCAGCTGGAGCTACATGGAGACCCTGTCTCGAAAAGCCAAAAAAGAAAAAAAAAAAGACCAAAAAATAAATAAAATAAAATTTAAAAAAAAGAATAGTATTTAGAATGAGGATGTATGTGTGTGAGTGTGTGTATATACATTTGCACACATCCATGCTCCTAATCAGGTATGTATATATTGAAAACCCTAAGTTAATGCTGATTCTTCCAGGTTTTTTCCAATACTTTGGGGTTCGTTCTTGAGTTTCCCCTTTTCCATGTTTTTGACTCCCTTTCTGACAGAAACCTGGCTTCTAGAATCCTTAACATGTTATTTTAATATCTTAATGTGTATCCAAACTTACTGCACCCGTCCTTCACTACAAAAATACCCTTTTCACCCAGCTTGGACTCTCAGCCATGCTATTCTGGCCACCACCACAGTGCCTCACCCTGCACGGACACTGTCTTCTCTTGCCCAGGCTGGGACTTGCTGGTATAGGCTGCTCTTCCTCATGCAGTCCTTTCACTGGGCTCATGCTCCGACCTTTGTGCCAGGCTCCCCCATCTCATCCCTCCCACATCCTTTCCCCTACCCATCTGCTGTGGATCTCTGCCTCTGAAGCCAGACCAGGCTTTTGTGGAAATACCCTCTTCATCCTGATTATTCTCCAACACCCTACATTGGATTACCCTAAGCAGATCTGAATTATGGAACCAGGCTACTAACACTCCATCAACCCTGGTTAGGCCTTAGCACCTGCAGCAGACTACTGACTTTCCCATTTCCCCACAGCCTTGCTTGTTTGAGATCTTTGGTTCCTTGATGCTGTTAAAGTCCTAGCTTTAGATTTGTCTGGATCTTTGAGAGCCCAAGAAAATCGGTGAAGCATTAATATTATTAACTAAGATGATGGTAGTCAGTGCTTCTGAGTCTACCTTGTTGTAAGTTTCTCTTTCAGCTTAGGAAAATATTTGTCCTTTCAGTGTATACTTAAATTTGTGTTTTTTGACATGTGGAAGAGCAAATGCTAAGTAGAAAGCAGCTTTTCAAGTTGAAAACTGTTTCTAAGCTGGGTCTCTAGCTCTGCAGTCATTCACTAGAATGTCCAACAGAAGCCAGACGGAGTTTTTCTGCTTCTGTGCCTGTGCTGAGCTCCACTCTCCCCTTGTCACACACTCGCCCTCATCTTTTCTCTTCCTGGTTGTCTGAGCGTTCACTGCTTTCCCATATCCCTCTTACTTTATTCCTTTTTTTTAATATATCTCATTTTAATTTTTATTTCCATTTTTGTCACTTTTAGCTTTTTCATAGACCACTTTGGCAGTACAGTTAGGTTTGTGCCACCACAGAAGCCCTGTGTGCAAGCCTGAACTGATGTTTATCTGCTGTATCTTGTGGCAGTATGCCACATCATGACAGTGCCTGAATAAAGACAGCCTGACTCTTAGCATCCATTTTAGTCAAGAGGGGACCTGAACTGCTCCAGGAACCTGTTCCTTCAGAGTTCTCCAGAACTATGCTCTTGAACCAAGGCCTCACTCTCTATTGAAACAGTATATCCAGCATGAAATGAGGAAATGAAAAGTTGAAGGATTACTTACTTACCCATGGGCACGAGCACAAATGTTGTCAATGTAATCTCACCTGTTGTTTACAACACAAATGGGATAGCCTTTGTTACTTCCAATGAATATCTGCTATTTGCAATGCTTGCTTGATAACACACACACACACACACACACACACACACACATGCCTGTATTATTCTGGATATCAAGGGCAAGGGATTAAAGCCCTATATTTAAGTTACAGGAGGAGCCCGAGGCCTAGTGAGCTGACTTACATAATAAATAAGCTGAGATAGGGTTAATGGTCTCAAAGCATAAGATTACCTGTTTGTCTACCAGGTTAGGTAAAAATTACACATCCAGAAGTCTTTCATTCCCACATATCTTACTTAGGGAATCCTCAAAGCTTTACCTTCTTTACTTGTAACATAACCGTTGTGGTGATTCTTGGGAAATTCCATTCAGCAAGCATTTGTAAGTCCCTGGCTCATAGCTTCATGCTACATTAGTACTGCTGCAGAAAGAGCTTTGTCATTGTCATGGTGTATACAATTTCTTTATCCCTCAGGACATACTTATTATAAGACTGTGAACTTCTTCAATGAGTTTTACCAGTATATACTTTTTTAAATGACTGAAAAATGATGTTTTTCATGTTTTATAATAGAGCCTATATATTCCTATTACTCTCCAGTTCCAAATTGATTATTTAAAGAAAGTATATCACTAACTCATATATGTGCCTTGGCAAGCAAGTTCTGTGTTCTGGTGGTTTTCCTAAGAAAGCAGTCATATGACTCCCTTAGAATGATTTGTGATGTTTGTGCAAATAAAGTTAAAATGTTAATGTACCGGAAAATGTCCTCAAAAGCAAGGGTTTCGCCAGTGACTCAACTTCATCAGCTGTGCTAATGGAAATGAGCCATGACTTCGTCCAGTAGTTAAGAGTCGTGAAAGTACCTTTTTCTTACTGTTTCTCTTTGGCATACAGAGTGGGAATACAGTCATGGATGCTTTCAACCAGACTACTCTTAGTTTATTAGTCACTGCTGTATTATAGGGAACAAAGTTTCTAGTATTACAGACACATTTAGATCATAGTGTGAGGCGATCAAGAGACTTTGACAATAATTTCACAGTAGTGGTGTGTAGTTTATTGAAATGCTGATGACATCCCTGCTTCTCTGGTCTTGAACTTGTCTGGTTTTAAGCCATTCATCACTGGATGCTCACTGCTTGAACATTAAGGTGAGTGTACAAGAAGCAGCACGTGGGTCTCTCACCATTCCCTCCCATCTGCCACCACTGAAACTGTGAGGCTAGGCTTAGGAGAGTGAAGAAACACAAATAAAGCCCACTTATCTCAGGAGGTTCATAGAAAGAAGCCAGGACTCTGGATACACCGTGGTTTCTGTAGCTGGAGCAGGGCAAGGACTGAGTGAGCTTGGAACACTAGGGTAAGAAGTAAGGAAGTGTTTGAAAAGTGAAGTGCGCATATCACCTGACACACAGGCCCTCTGAGGCTATAACTGGCCAAACCTGGGACATTTGAAACAGTAACAAATTATAACTCATTAAATGAAACATAAATCTATGAATTGGTAATGAAATGATAAGAAAAAAGAATGAAATAGTAGTGAAAAATGGAATGCATATCTTCCCACATAAAATACAACTGAAAATACATATTTAAAAATAATTTTTGCCTGGCGTGGTGGTGCACACCTTTAATCCAAGCACTTGGGAGGCAGAGGCAGGCTGATCTCTGTGAGTTCAAGGACAGTTGGGGCTACAAGGAGACCCTGCCTCAAAAAAAACCAATAATTTTTAAGGAAAATGTTTATTGATTTAAAAAATGAGAGGTAACATTATAGTGGCAAAGCCTGAGCAATCACTGCCTTAATCATGTGGTCAAAGTTGATATTCACAGCAGTAGTTAAGTCAGAATCATATGGGCTGGAGAGATGGCTCAGCGGTTAAGAACACTGGTTGTTCTTGCAGAAGACCCAGGTTCAAATCCCAGCACCCACATGGTAGTTAACAACTGTCCATAACTCCAGTGCCAGGGGATCCAACAGCCTCTTCTGTCCTCTGCGGGCACACAGGTGCACTTACCTACATGCAGGCAATACACGCATATACATAAAAGTAATAAATATTTTTTTTTAGAAAAGAATCACCATGCATGGTGGTGCATGCCTTTAATCCCAGCACTTTGGAGGCAGAGGCAGGCGGATCTTTGTAAGTTCAAGGCCAGCCTGGTCTACATAGTTCCAGGACAGCTGGGGCTACAGGGAGACCCTTTCCCAAAAAAACCAAAAAAAAAAAAAAAAAGTCAGAATCATATACTACCTCCTAAAAGGCAGTGAGAAGAGGGTATTCTTACTAAAGATATCTTTGGTTGTAACAATATACCAAACAAACTAGAAGTATCATCTACATAGTAACTAGCCTGTACTTTTCAAATGTGTCATCAGTCCTTAAAGACAGGAGAAGGCTGAAGAACTATTCCAGACTGAAAGATACTTAAAGATGTGAAGTGCAGCATCTGTTCCTGGCTTTTTGATCTATTCCTGGCTTTCTGTCCAAAGGACCTCAGTGAGATAATCAGTAATGTGTTCTGAGCATCCCTTAGTAGTACTGTGTCAGTCTTAAGTTTTGATTATTAAAACGTGTGATTACTTAAGAAAATATAGTTGCTTGAAGCTAATATACATTAGAAGATTTAAATATGATAGAGCAAATGCTTCTGAAAAAATACATTCTTTATAGTAATACCATGGCTTTTCTGTAAGTCAGAGTTTTGTTTGTTTTGTTTTGTGGGGTATTTTATGAAACAGGAAAATAAGAGTTTATATATCTATAGCAAATGGAAGATGAATATCATATGAAAATATTTTAGAGGAAATGAGGTTTTCAGCTACTATGTGAACATGGTTGGTAAAAATTTCAGAAGACTAAGTACCTTGTAGACAATCGAATGAGA